CTTCATCATATCAATCCCGCCCGTCTATGTGTGCCCTATATTAATACTAACAATAAACACCTTTCTCTTTCTCTTTCTATTTTTAATTTTACTATGTCTTAGCTTGAATATTAAATTCATAGCCTGCTTGGTTATGATCTGTGTACTAGTTATATGTCATCATTTGTATATATGAATGAATACAGTACCCTCCCCTAAAAATGGGGGTCTTGTCTATTAGTTAAATTTAGACCAAGTTTTATTTAAATTATTATATATGTACAAATAAAAAATATCAATTTCTTTTAAAGTTTTATTTTCAATTTTAATTAAAACCACCTTTTGAATTCTATAAACATTATTATCAAGCATAAAAGTAATAGATTATATCTAGCTTTAAAAAAAAAAAAAAATGGACCCCAAAACTTGGGTGTCATCTGTCGTCGCCCTAATCAGACATGGCCATGGACAACCTTGTGAAATAGGTTCCATTATCCAATATGGTCATTTCTCCAATTTACATCTATTATTGACATATATAATTGCTTTTGATTCTTTAGTATAACAACATTTTTACTTTTAATCATTTAACGTTTACAAATTGATCAAATTTCATCTAAACGTTTTGAAATATCACATTTACACCAAACATCATCCTTCTTTCATATGAGAACATATATTACATTTTAGACTAAATTTAGTTAAGTCCAAATGGTTAGGGATAATATCTAATCAAAATAATACTTCTCTTATCTCTTATTTATTTATAATATTAATAAAAATAAAATCGTTGTGTAGTTTCCCGGCCAAACTTTTATTAATAATTAATAATAAGGTTATTTTACTTAAAAGGGGGAAATGGAAAAGAATTGGAAGTATCAAGAATTTATAATGAAAATAATTTAAACGAATTGGATATTGATAATTAACGGCCTAAATTTAATAATAACAAGTTTATTAAGACAATCAGTAATATATTATTTACTATACTATAAGAGTCAAAGAGAGTTAGGCCTATAATAGGTAGAAAAAATGACGATCAAATTTTTTAATTAAATGAATGACTCATATTGATCATATTTTAAAGATTTCTTAATTTATCCTTAATTATATGATTATCCGTTACCTTTCCCGTTAAATATTATCTTTTCAGTTAATTTATGTTAGTTCACTGTTAATTTACTCATTGATTTCAATAAGATTCTTACTCATTGATTTCAATAAGATTCGGTTCGAACCCCATCCCAATAGACATTAGCATAATTAGTACTCTATTTTATTCTTATAAAACTAAAATAATAATTTAGTAGCTACCACAAAAAATAATACATATGCCTTTCTTTAATTTAGAATTATGTGTCTACAATGCTTTTATTCAAAAAAAAAAAATATTCATTATCAATAAATTAAATAAGAGAAATAATTTCATTAGTTATATTGTCTTTATTTTTCTCCAATATCAAAATTTTTTACATTCAAATTCATCAATTGATTATATTCGCTACATTGTATTTACAATGTCTTTATTAAAAAAAATCATTATCAATAAATTAATTAAGGGAAATAATTTCATTAGTTATATTGTCTTTATTTTTCTCCAATATAAAAATTCTTTACATTCAAATTCATCAATTGATTATATTCGCTACATTGTCCCTACAATCTCTTTATTCAAAATTTTTTTATTCATTATCAATAAATTAATTAATTAAGGAAAATAATTTCATTAGTTATATTGTCTTTATTTTTCTCCAATGTAAAAATTCTTTACATTCAAATTCATCAATTGATTATATTCACTACATTGTCTATTATTTAATTTGTGCACTATTTTTAAATTAACTATCAAAGTTATAATACAGAATAATGTCATATATTTATTTACCAAATATTTTATTAATACCATGAAAAAATTAAAAAAAAATATATTATTAATAAAGTCAATCATATTAACTACTTGAGAAATTTGTTGACAAAGAGAGTATTCAAATCAGACAACAAATTGAAGTGGAAAACTACCTCGCAATGTCATTGTTTGACAATCAGTAGTTAGCGGATTTGACTAGCGAATTATATCGACGGTGAGAAAAAAGATATTTGAAAAATTAGCAGTTTAGATTAACATGTGAAATGACCTAAGGGTATAATAATAATAACAATAATAATAATAATAATAATAATAATAATAATAATAATAATAATAATAATAATAATAATAATAATAATAGTAGTAACAGTAGTAATACTAGTAATAATAGTAATAATAGTAATAAAAATAATAATAATAATAATAATAATAATAATAATAATAATTATAATAATAATAATAATAATAATAATAATAATAATAATAATGCTGAGTAACCCACCCCCACGCGTTGAGTACAGTAAATATAAGTATAGGAAATCATTTTGAAACTGAAATACATATATAGCCTTAAGCGACACTAGCTTTCAAATCAGAATCAGGACTCAGAATATAATAACGGAACGACTTCACGAATACTACAAATCATGCGTCCTATGATTACAAGGCATAATAAACAGGGCAAGCACATGATTAACATTTAAAGGCAAGCAACGAGATTCAATAACAATCAGTTAGCAAATAAGCATCAGAAAACACAATCCATCTTCCAACCTTATACCAAGTTCCAACCTTTACTCATCTCCATCCTTATATCAGTTCCAACCTGTACCTCCAAGCCACCCTTATATCACATCCCTTATTCCTCCTGAGCAACTACATGCCCCATTCCGTAACCACCAACAAGTCACCAACATGGTAGCACCGAAGTGTCATTCGTATGGTCCGTGCCTCTAGCACCACTACCAAGGGGTCAGCGCATATAGCCCTAACATGACACCGCGGCGCTTATACCCTGATCCAAGCCTTTAGCTAGCAAGTCTAAGGGGTGGTTCGTGTGTTTTACACGATAACCGAGCAATCGTTGTGCTTTCCGCCAACAATTCATTTCCACCAATCACAATCTCATTCTCATCAGTCACATCGATCATTGCGCAATGACCACGATACTCATCATCATTCAATCAATCAATCATATAACCAACAATAACAATTAAGGCACATTAACAAACGACACACACTACACACAAATTCCTAGAACGATAGTCAAAATATCATACGAGACTCATAAACATCAAATGGGGTACGACGGGGAACAACGGGACATGGGGAAACGTCAAACGAGGGAAAACATCCCGTCGCACACCCACTTTCCAACGGGTGGGCGGTGGGTGGTGGACCACCCGCCGGTGGGCGTCCACTTTCCAGCGGGTCTGCCCACCGGCTGCCCGCTGGAACTTGGGTAGCCAGGCAGTGGGTAGGTGGTGGGGATTCGTCCCCCCACTTACCCCCACTGGTACGAAGGTAGAAATCCCAGTTCGGTGTTCGTTCGTGGAACTCAAAATCATGTCCAAACACATTCTGACATGTAACAACAACATCACGGATTCAATTAACGAAGAGTAAACCAAGAATCATTCCAATTACGTTCTAGCACAATTCCTAAACATGCCAAGACCCGACATCGATCACATAACGGTTCGGGAGCATCTGGAACATCAAGAACATCAAGAAATCTATATGCAATGCCCTAAGGACAAGTCCTAGGCTAGACTCAACACCCGAACATGCATAAACCCACCCAATAACACCAAGAATATCATAACACAAGATTCACGATATAAACCCTACGGACAAGCTCTAGACATGATTAAATATAAGACCACACATATAATCAATCACAACATCAAGATCATCAAGATTATCAAACAAACACAACATAAACCCTAGGCAAAGCTCTATCAAGACTCAATCACAGAATCACACATCAAAGGAGCCAATAATTAAGATATAGCAAGAAAAATAGGTTTTGTAAGACATTGGTTACCTCTTAGCCCTAATCAATATCCTTGCCTACTAAGATTCTTCTCTAAGATCCTCCTCCAATTGATCTTCCTAGGTCCGGTGGCGGGAAATTCCTTTGCTAGGTTCCCACGGGGAATGTCTCGCGTGGTAGAATTAACTGTGATAGGGTTTCCAAATGCCTTCTAATCCCATATATATAGATTCAGGAGTCCTAACTAGAGTCTGAATAGCAAAGGCCCACTTTCCCTATTCCTAACAGATTAAAGACTTGATTAAGGATAAGGGTCCATGATCCATTGTGGACTATACTAATTAATTAATGGGAATCCTAGTCCAATTAAATCCTTTCTAATTATTCATTAACGGAATTAATTCCATAATTAGTCCGGATTCGGAGGCCATAACACGGGGTGTTACAGATACACTTTCAAATATTTATTTCATTATAAAATTGGGCATTAACTCATTCGCGCAATGCGCGTGTACAACTAGTATTAGAGATAAGGGTCAATACGTGCCCAGAAACGCTTAAATTCTTAAACCCAATAATATTTCATTAGTCAAATTCACTAGTACAGAAATAATCATCTAAAGAAATGTACAATACGTGTCCAAAGTTGCTTGGACGCATATGTAGGAGACACAGATTGTATGAACAATCTACATCCTAGGTTACTTTGGACGTACATAATTACTATACGCGTCTTAAGTTCCGGAACTTCAAACGCATATAGTATTATATTTAAAAAATACTATATGCGTCAGGAGTATGCTAACTTCTGACGCATATAGGATATGTACCCTTTTTGCACACATCAATAAATAGAGTTTTTCAGTATTAATCAGAGGTGAAATATTATATTAGGGAGTACAATTAAATAAATAACAGGCATAGCAATAATAGGTCTATGATTATTTATATAGAAATCAATATAGAATTACATGAAAAACTTCAAACCCTACTGAACTAATTGTGCATAGTAAATGAACAAAAGTGATATTCATGAGACAAACAATATCAGATTAGAATTCCGCTTCTTATTTCCCTCCATTCTATTTGTAAAGTAAAGGTAATAATAATTTTTTAAAAAATCAATCCATGATAATATGATCATTCCAATCGATTATTGAAACTTACTTCATTTTTGTCTCCCGGTGATAGGCAAAAGAAATCAGCATCAGCAGGCATAGCAACCTAATCTGAAGCAATCTACAGACCTATAAAGGATTAAGGAAGTTTTATTGGCAAACAGAAAATATAGCTCTTAGAATATGAATTAGAGTGGGGTGTGGAGAGAGTAAGAAAAATACCAAAAGTGTTGGAGAAGAATAAAAGGGTTGAATAGTAATTTTCATTCCAGATAAGTTGTAACCGCCTTAGCTTTTACCTCCAATTCCCTTTGTACAAATGCTTTCTCCTGGCTTCTGTTGTTGACACATTGAATAAAACAAGTTTACTTTCTCTCTCTCTCCTCTTCGTACTTCACGTCATGGTATCAGAGCCCTACGGCTTAGCTCCGGCAAGATGAACAAATACAGCTCTTACGCCGCTGTGGTCACCGGTGAGCCAGAACAATAGACGCCTGTAGGATCGGCGCCGATCGCACACTCATCGACGCATGCAACATCCACTGCAACTCCACAAAGGAATCGAACTCTGCAGAGGAGCCTATTCCAGCAACAGAGAACTCAGAGCATGGAGGATCTCGATAATCCGTTCTTCTTTAGCTGCAGTGACAATCCGAACAATGTGCTAGTTAGTCTGCTAGGCAGCGTGAACTATGGATCCTAGAGTATTTCAATGAGAACCGCTCTAGAAGTGAAGAATAAATGGTGTATCGTCGACGGGAGCATCATCGCGCCGGCCAGAGACCATTTCCAGTTCGTTGCTTGGAGGCGATGCAATCTCATGGTATGTTCATGGTTTTTTAAATTTGTTCATCCTATTATTGCGCAAAGCATCATGCATTTAGATAAGGCCAAAGAAATCTGGGAGGATTTGGAACGTCGTTTCTCTCAATGCGACGCCCAGAAAATTGCTGCTCTGCAAGATGAAATATACAGCTTGAAGCAAGGAAAACTATCTGTCAATGACTAGTATATATACGCGATGTCGAACCTTATGGGAAAGGATGAACGCACTAAGGCCACTTCCGTGTTGCAGATGCGATCCGAAGTGTTCATGTGACCTAGTTACTCAAATCAGAAAAGAACATGATGTAGATCAAGTCATCCGCTTCTTGCAAGGATTCAATGAGGACTATAACAGCCTTAAGTCCAATATCTTGGTCCTTGATCCTCTACCTGAAGTGTATAAAATTTTCGTTATGGCAGAGAAGGTGGAAAGGCAAATTGCCTTGGCAAGCTTGAACTTAGGCACTATTGAACTCACTCAAGCAAACGCTGTGCAGCAAGATCAGGAAATTTCAAGTGAAATTGTAGCAGCAGCTATAAATCCTTATAATCGTCACAATTTTAGGAAGAACGCAAATACAAACAAGGCAGCGAAATGAACGTTTTGTGGAAAGAATGGACATACTGTGGATAAGTTACCGTGGATAAGTGTTTCAAGAAACACGGTTATCCTCCGGGATGGATCCTTGGATACAAGTCGAAGGGAAGGCAAGTGGCTGCTGCAAATTCCAGTTCGACTGGGTTGGATTCAAACACATGTACTGGATCAACCTCTGATCAACTGGAGAAAACTGATCTCCCTCCTTCAGATTCAAATTGGACAAGCTCAAAGTGCAAAAAACCACAGTTGCTGTCAATGTTGCAAAAAACGTTAGGCGCCCCCTAGGCGCCGATTTTTTATTTATTTTTTTATTTATTATTTATTTTTTTTAATTAAAAAAAATTAAAAATTAAAAATTTTCAAAATTTAGTACTAAAACATAAGGTTTTCATAATTATTTCTTAGAAACTATTTACAAAAGTGGTTGTAAGATTGTTTAAACCATCTAAATACATAAAAAAAACTAAAATTAAGAGCTAAAGAAGCATTTTTTTGAGAAATTAGTGGACCAAACCACCTTTGACAGTTTGCGGTGTATAGATCTCGAAAAAATACGCGATTTGAAAAAAAAAATTGTCCAAATCGGACAACCGAGTCAAAAGTTATGCCTTCCGAAACTTTTCCGACATTTGAAAAAAAAAAAAAAAAAAAATTCGCCGAACCGCCGAACCGGCCAGCCGCGTAGGAGGCCGCCGAGGCCATTCCTCGCGGTGGCCTCCTAGCGCCTAGCGCCTAGGCGCGATTTTTGCAACCCTGGCTGCTGTGTCTCTAACTCGGTTCTGTGAGGACAATTCGTTAAATGAAGGCAAGTCTTCTAATACTCATGTTAATTCCATTATGTTATCGCCTTTTACTTGGATACTAGATTCAGGAGCTTCGGATCACATAGTATGCTCTACTGATTTCTATGATGCTTATCGTGTCACGTATAATAGTGAAGTAAGTTTACCCACTGGGAAGTCCATATCTGTCAAACACATAGGGGATATTAAATTGAATGAGCAGCTATGGTTGAAGGATGTTCTGCACATTCGATCCTTCCACTTCAACTTGATATCTGTGAGTAAGCTCTTACAAGACACTTGTTATAATGTTGTATTTACACCTGGGCAGTGCTTGGTTCAGGATGCTCTTGGAATAACACTTGGTTTGGCTAAGCATATAAATGATCTGTACTTGCCGGTGGAACCACCAAGACCAAAGAAAATTACGCATAACATTTTGGCAGCACAATGTAATAGTGGTGAGATTTGGCACCAAAGATTAGGACATTTCCCATTCAATAAACTCAATTTTTTGAAAGAGATCAGGAACATTTCTGTTAAGAATTCTGTGTGTGATGCTTGTAATCTTGCTAAACATAAAAGGTCACCATTTCCCCTAAGTATTACAACTTCAAAGCCAGTGTTTGATCTAATTCATGCCGATATACGGGGACCATTTCCGGTTTGCTCATTGAAAGGAGAACATTATTTCTTAACTTTGGTTGACGATTACTCACGATTTACTTGGCTATATCTTATGAGAAACAAAACTAAAGTCAGACAGTTCATTATGAAGTTTCATGCATGGGTTTTTACTCAATTTCCGAAGCTAATCAAAGCCTTCCGAACTGACAATGGGGCAGAGTTCAACATGGCCGAGGTTTTTGCAGAGAAAGGAATTATTCACCAAAAGTCTTGTGCCTATACGCCACAGCAAAACACAGTAGTAGAACGAAAGCACCAACACATTCTCAATGTGGCAAGATCCATCCGGTTTCAAGCCTCCTTGCCTCTTGAGTTTTGGGGACAATGTGTAATGCATGCTGTGTATCTCATTAACAAATTACCTTCACCAGTTATTGAGTTGTCTAATCCCTTCTACAGATTGTATGGAAAAGACCCTGATCTCATGAACCTCAAGATTTTTGGTTGTCTTTGCTACGCTTCAAACCTATCACCCTCCAAGCACAAGATGGATCAAAGAAGTAAGAAGTGTATCTTTGTGGGCATGCCTGCTTATACTAAAGGCTACCTAATGTATGATTTAGAAGAAAAGATTATATTTGTGTCTCGAGATGTGAGGTTCTATGAATCTGTCTTTCCTTTTTCAGCAAAGGAAATTTCATCAGAAAATGGTCCTGATCCTATATGTTAATTGGTCAATCTCTTCCCATTATTCCTATTCACACTCAACTTCACTATGAGCCCTCTAATGATGTTTCCAGAATGCAGCTGTCTAATGTCAATGAGCATGAAGGTGGGACTGCTTTACAGCAGTCCAGTTCTAATACTGCTAATGAAGTCGAGCCAGAAATTGAGCAGCAAGGGGTGGTAGACCAAGGGATCTTATCACAGCATTCCAATTCTGATGGTATGTCCAGAACTAATAACGAGAGCATGCATGCAATACAACAGTGTGATCACACCTCACATGAGACAATCAATGATGATGAGGTTCAACCAAGAAGATCGAGTAGACAAAGGCAGTTTCCAAACAGACTTCAAGACTATCTCTGTGAAGCTGTGATCAGTAAAGGTCCATCTCCACATTCTCTTTCTAAGGTCATAACTTTTGATGCACTTGAACCATCACACAAATGTTTTTCTATGGCTGTGACTTCTGCTAATGAACCAAAGTCCTACAACCAAGCCATTAAAGATCAACATTGGAGGGAAGCTATGAAGACAGAGATCCAAGCACTGCAGGATAATAAAACATGGGAGTTAACCACTCTTACTGCAGGGAAAACACCCATAGGCTGCAAATGGGTCTATAAGGTGAAGTTAAAGGCTGATGGTTCGGTTGAAAGATACAAGGCACGTCTTGTGGCAAAAGGGTACACCCAACAACTAGGGGTTGATTATATTGAGACATTCTGACCGGTTGCTAGAATCACAACCATTCGAACCTTCCTAGCAATTGTAGCTTCGAAGGCTTGGTATATTCATCAACTGGACATAAATAACGCATTCTTACATGGTGATTTGACTGAAGAAGTTTATATGATCCTACCGCCCGGTTTTCAACCTGAGAAGCCAAACCAAGTGTGTAAACTGCTCCGATCTCTCTATGGTCTTAAACAAGCTAGCCGCCAGTGGAATGCAAAATTAAGCATTGCTCTGTCCAGTATGGGGTTAACTCAGTCCAAGGCTGATCCGTCATTGTTTACTAGAGGACAAGATGGCACCTTCATAACAATTCTCGTGTATGTAGATGACATATTGGTCACTAGTCCTGATTTGAACCTAATCAGTGATCTCAAAATAGTGCTTGATAATGCTTTCAAGATTAAAGATTTGGCGAAGTTAGGGTATTTCCTAGGGATTGAAGCGAGATTAGATGATGAAGGCTTGAATCTCTATCAAAGGAAATACTCTCTGGACATCCTAGCAGAAGCAGGTTTCCTTGAATCAAAACCTGTAAGTACTCCAATGGTTCCGGGTTATCATCTCAACCACACGGATGGTGAACCACTCAATGATGTCAATGGCTATAAAAGACTCGTTGGACGTCTCTTATATCTCACGGCCACGAGACCGGACATATCTTACGATGTGCAACAGTTGAGTCAATTCATTGACACTCCCACTGACAAGCACCTAAGTGCAGCTCACAGAGTACTTCGGTATATAAAGGGGACACCAGGTCAAGGTATGTTCAATCACAAGGACAATGCCTTACAGCTTAATGTTTTTTCAAACTCCGATTGGGCTGCGTGTGTAGAAACGAGAAGGTCCATAACTGGATTTTGTGTTTTCCTTGGTTCTTCGCTCGTTTCTTGGAAATCAAAGAAACAAGCAACGGTATCAAGATCCTCATTTGAAGCAGAGTACCGAGCTCTTGCTTCTTCTGTTTGTGAGGTACAATGGTTAATGTTTTTACTTGCAGGCATGCAGACCTCTATGCAGAGGCCGGCAGTGGTATTCTGTGATAATAAATCTGTTGTAGCTATGGCCGAAAATAAAGGGTTTCACGAGAGAACGAAGCACATCGAGATAGACTGCCACCTCGTTCGAGAAAAGGTCTCCCAAGGCTTAATTAAGCTACTGTCAGTATCATCAACAAATCAAATAGCAGATGGTTTTACTAAACCTTTACCCATCACAATGTTCAGAACTTTTGTGTCTAAGCTGGGCATCCAGAACCTGCATGCGCCACCTTACCGGGTGGAGGGGGTGTTGGAGAAGAATAAAAGGGTTGAATAGTAATTTTCATTATAGATTAGTTGTAACCGCCTTTTACCTCCAATTCCTTTTGTACAAATGCTTTCTCCTGGCTTCTGTTGACACATTGAATAAAACAAGTTCACTTTCTCTCTCTCTCCTCTTCGTACTTCACATAAAAAAGTATTCATTTATATCATCATAGTTCCTCCACTGGGAATATTTTGATTTCCCCTTCTGATCTGCTCCTTTTAGCTTCATAATCAAAGTTGTGAAGAGGGTTAACAAATATTTTCACCCCTTTACCACGATATCAATATTTCAATTCTATCAATTCAACACTTTACCACAATCAATTGCACACTACATACACCAAACTCTATCAATATACTAACTATCAAAACTACTAAATAAATGAATAAATAAAACAAATATAAGTATCAACACATTATTAAAATTAACTAAAAACATGAATGCAAACATTTAACACTCCATCATAATTAGCCGTCAGAACACAATAAGATACATAAAAACACTGCAAATAGGTCACTTGTATAGAACAATTCAAAGGCAATAAAAAAAAAGGAATATAATATGACAAGATACATACCAACACTGCAAATTGGTCATGAAGATAATTCCTGTTTTTGTATTAAACTACTTGAAAATCACATTAAAAATTTATTGATACAGTCAAATTAATACTAAAATAAGTAGTATTATCATCAATGGGGACTGTAGGAACTTATCAAGTTTTACAAATGTTGGCACTGCAGAGTAAAATGCTTTAGAAAGGAAGTGACTGTAGGAATCAAAACAAGTAACAAAGAAAATTGCCTCCAACAGGTAAGTGATTTCAAATCCCGTGAAATTGTCAATGAAAAAAGTTATTGTAATACAATAATACACAATTATGTCAAGGACATATTATGTATAAACATAAATTAAACAATGCATAAAGCTGGAAAATTACCTAATGAAGGAGAAACGAACAACTACCGCTGCTGTGTGAATCGGAGAAGGAGAAACGAATTGAATGGCAACTGCTGCTTGTGTCCTTGCAAGCTTAGAAGTTAGAACAGGAATGGAATACTTGCCACAGTGCTTTAAACCATGATCTCTGCATTGCTTTGCAATGTCACTAAAAATGCTCAAGGTCATTTTTCTTTATTCAAGTGTTGGTATTCTTTTCCTGCAAAAACATACCTAAGAAATTAAGTGAAGAGCAAAGAAGTGACATCCCCACATATAATTTACAAAGTAAATTTGAAGAAAGACCTTCTGAGCAGAGATCCTTTTTATCAAAAGTTGTAAGCAAATGCGAACCTGTTTCAAAATATTTATGAAAAAGCAAAAGAAGTTTCATAATAGTGAGTAAAATGGTAAAAAGTTCAAAGGGAGGTAAAACACTTTGCTGTGTTACCCTCTAGGTTAGCTCCCCTTCTCCACATTCTAGTCCCTAAATAGAATGCCACCATATTGAACATCAATATTTGACCATTACTCTTTTGCTTACAGATATAAATGGCGCATGATGACGAAAAATGGGGGAAATGAAATATTTTGTAGATTATAGATCTGAAAATGTTAGCTTACAGATCTGGATGACAGCAGCGGTGGAAATCTTCTGGCAAGCCTCTGGCATCATTCTTCACAGCCATCGGCGGAGGTGTACTTGGTGTACGAAGGAGAACCGGCGACCTTTGCTACTATGCGAAGGAGAACCAACAACCGACGAGAAAGAAGAAATTGCGAAACTGTAACACCCCCAGTTTTCACACACTTGAGCCTAGTAATAACCATAGTTTAAGAGATAGAAATCCGGAATAAGGAAAGGGGTAATATACTAATTACCCGAATCATACAACCAAAAAGGGATCCTACTCCGTAGTCACCTTCCACAGAGTAACTACACGGGAAAGGAACTAATATTCCACATCAACATTCATTCATAAGGGCCCACTAAACCAAATCAATTCAAAGTCTAAGCTCAAAATATAACTTAAGGCACTCAGGCCTAAGTGTCAAACGCACTACAAAACATAATAATGGTAAACTAAACTACTCAAAGTCTAACATCAGATAAGTCTAAGAGGTTTGACTAACAGCTAGGAACTAGCATCAACTCTATAATAACTAGCACTATCTAACGCGCTCAGCCATCACTGGTCAAACCTGAAAGGGGTTAAGTAAAAAGTATACAAAAGCAACCCGTTAGACGAATGCTAAGTATAAACCACTGTATCCTGTAAAGTACACTATATAGATATAGGTTTGGAAAATAGATTATTTCACACTTAACACGTTAGCCAATTAAGATCATAGATACGAGATAAGTAACTCACGAGTATATAAGTATACATATATAGCAATAATGCCTAACTACTGTTGGTGATAATGAACCACAATCGATTTAATATCCGTAAAATAATATTTATATATATACACACGAAATATATATAAAATATTATTGGATATATATATATCCGAAATATATATATACACACAAATATATATAAGACGGACCCAACGGTTATATATAAATGTATATCTACGAAAAAGATATACCAATATATATCAACCAAAAAGAAAATATAATCCTTAGATTATAATTCCAAATTAACAAGAAAGAACGGATTTTTGCTTAAAAGCATAATCCAAAACAAGAAAGAAGGAGAAGGAAGAAAGATTCGTACGAGTTAAGCAAAGTGCCTGTCTTTCCTTAAAACCTTATTTGTCACCTCCCAAAAGTGCTAGGAGCGTTGTGGCCTTGGCTTCCCAGGATAAAACGTACAACGGTTCGACGTTTGAGCACCCAAACGAACGAACCCGGCGAACAAGAGCACGGGCAAAAGCACAGCTTCAAGAATGGAGTAGAAGCAGAAGTATTTTGAGGCTTGGAAAAATATTTTTCTTGTGTGTTGTTGTTACTTTTTCCTTAGAAAAATTCTGCTGCACTCTACCCCTTCTTATATAGGGATTGAGGAGTGAATAGCCTTTATTATGGCATTTAGGGGCATCCCTAAGTCTCTTGTAACAGCAACCATTAACATGGGTGTTAATTCAAAATTAAAATTGGAATTAATTCAAAAATTAATTCCATAACAGCTGAATTAAATCCCAACAGTCACAAACAAAAGCTTCAGGCCAAACTTTCTGCCTAAGTAGTAGTTTCGGCCATTAGCCGAAACCAACAATTATTATTGTGTGGACCATGGTTCATACAAGTTGTGTAGACCATATTTTGTATACTATAAAATAATGTACATTCAGTACAAAAATAATGTACATTCAACACAAAAATAATGTACATTATATTCAGGAGATGTACATTATTTTTGTACTGAGTGTACATTATATGGTATAATGTACATTCAGTACAAAAATAATGTACATTTAGTATATTAAAAATGTACTTTATATTATGGTCCACATAACATTGTGTGGACCATGGTCCACACAATAATTTGCCCGAAACCACTACTTTCGGCTTCGGCCAAGGGAGCCACACGAAACCTTGTTTCATGCATTACATTGTTTCATTCATGGTGGCCCACAGTGAAACATTATTTCATGCATTACAATGAAACATTGTTGCATTACATTGTTTCATTCGTGGTGGCCCACAGTGAAACATTATTTCATGCATTACAATGAAACATTGTTTCATTCTTATTATGTGGCCTTACAGTGAAACCATTGTTTCACTTTATTATGGTTTCACTTTATTTCATGGTGGCACACGAAAGAATTATTTCATTTCGTGGTGACACGAAACAATGAACCCTTTCATTTCGTGACTGAATTGGAAAATGACACCGAAACTTAGCCCGCACATTCATGCACACGAGATTAGGCTTGATCCAAGCCTTTCTGATCTCATTATGGGATTTGATTTGCACTCTCCCCCACGCGTGAGAGAGAGCCTCTATGTTATACAATTCAATGAGCTTAAAATGAGCTCTTGTATAAATAGTGGGGCAAATCCTCTTCCCAAACCAATGTGGGACAAAAGCTCACTTTTTCCCTTCATTTTCCAACTCAAACGGGTCTACTTTGAGAATCAATATCTCATTCACCCATTATCCGTTTTGAGCGTACAATATATCAATCTCTTCGTCTCACTACGAAGAACCCGAATCCACTTTGACCCGACCCAAATCAGAAGTGGACCCCACTGATAATTGTACCACAAAATAGCCACTTAATATGCCATCTTATGCCATTTTAAGCCATTTTTTCCAACAATCCCCCACATGAATGAAAAATTGATTTTCAGGGTATTTTGAAATCGGAAACAATTGTGTTCAACGGTCGATCCCTGCATAGGATAGGTAGGGATCACTATACCATTTGAACCTTCCCTTGTAAAGATATGTTTACTCTACTGGCTGTACGGTAGAACGCGATGTCTTTGAACCGACTGCCGTTTGTGTAGACGATGACATATCTCACACAGGAACCTCCCAACCATGCTCTGTTCTCATGAGTGTGCCCATTTTGGTCGTGGGTCACCGTCCTGGTTCTGCAAGAGTTTGTGAAGAATTGTGCCCATCAATTCTCCTTTGAAGCGACCCTCACTTCTCTCTCACATAGGTGATTCTTTTCCGAGTATCCCGCCTACTCACACATGTCAACCGACATTCGAATCATTAAAGCATCAACATGCTAACCTTGCGCGGGAGTCACTGTTCTAATGAGGAGTGGTAGGGAGTCCGAGACCCCCACAGTGACACGCTCCGTTCCATAATTTAGTTGTCCCATTGAACCTAGGTGCCAGCTAGGTTGGGTATCCACTATAGAACTTTTAGTCCAAAGGCTTTAGACCCATTCCTCGTTCCAACTTCTCCACAACCATTTGCTTACCCTCGGGTTAGCGAGTTAGCGGCCGCTACGTTATCTTTTGACATCACGTAGTCAATAGAGATAACCCTTGTTGTGAGAAATTGTTTAATGGTATTATGTCAACGACTTATAAGTCTAGACTTACCATTCCACATCTAACTCTGTACTTAACCAATTTTGGATTGACTATCGCAATGCACACAAATTGGAGGTACGAGTTTACCACTAGGAACATTCTCGAAATAACGGCATAGCCATTCGGCCTACTCGCTCGCGACACGAGTGTAAGGCTCTCAGCTTTGACCCCGTCGGATCTTAGCTATCACAAATTCATTTCGAGAATTTCCGTCCAACCAACTGCACTGGCCTACGTAAAGACGTAGCCTTTGATGGACTTAGCGTCCTTTGATATCCGGGCTATACTTTCCAAGTACAGTTAGATATCCCACGTAGTGCAGTCTAGAGTACGAGCATACCATAAGTATCTCATAACTTGCGCTATTGCCTTCTAGTGCGCAACACTAGGGTTACTTGTATATCTACCGAGTTCGTTAACCGCAAAGGCAATGTCCGACCTAGTACAACCCATTGGATACAATTAAACTACCAATAATCTGAATGTATTCTCCATGAGAAGTAAAATACTCGTGATTATTGGCTAGTTGTACGTTAGTATCTAACGGTGTCCAAGCCACTTGATTAACATCCTTTGCAAGGATTTAATCAACACAATGAGATTGGCTTAACACGAGACCATACGGTCTTCTCACAATTTTAATCTCAAAGATTAAATCTGCCAAGCCCCCATTTTTGATCGCATGTCAAATCTCAAATTTAACATGTTCTCGGTAGAATTGATCACACGATCGTTACTACCCACGTTGATTTTATCGTGTATAGACAAATAGTGATAACCTCGTCTATCGTACGCATTACGTAGACATTTATCACATTTGTTTATACTAAACTCGTGACACATCATTGTATGATAAAAACTTACATGCCAAGTACTAAGGCAATTGTTTCTTCAAACCAAACAATGATCTGACCAGTTACACACTTTCTTTCCATAGCGCGGAACCACGAAACCCTCGGGTTGTTCCATGTCTATTAAGAAAGCGATACATCCATTTCGATAAACTACCAAGTCTCGCTAAACAGCTCTTGGGAAGTATCATCCTAATGGATTTCATTCTCATCACAAGAGAATATATATTGAAGTAAATGTGGCACTCGCGTTGCATGTAATTTAAAATTACAAGCTCGGCCATTTTACTTCGATATAACCAACCGGTTTTATCTTCCGACTAGTGATCCACTTAGGATCCCGATGTTTTACAACCCGGAGGAAGAACAACCAGTTCCAAGTATGATTCTCTAAGATAGAATCTACTTCACTCTCGGTAGCCTCTCTCGGGTTGGTCCATCTGTAGAAGTCATCACTTCTACATATGTTCGAGGCTCGCTTTCTAACAACTATGTCAGAAAATCTGGTTTATTTTCTAGTAAACAAGTTAGATTGTGCGCATCACACTCTAACATGTATGTCAGAAAATCTGGACCAAAGGATTTTTCAATCCTAGCTCTCTTGCTACGTCTAGCTTTGAGCTCGGGTTCTCTTTCATACCCTTCAATCATAGCTACGGCGAAAGTTCCTTTCAACGTGCTAAGTCCTTTATTGAACCTACACGGGAATACATCTTCTAAGGAACGATGAATTTCTTGATTCAATTTATTGTGTTCTTATGTACATCCAGAGCGTAGGACTCGTGTACTAAGAACCAAAACGCCTTTGGCAAGACACCCCCACATTTCAGGTATTCGTAGGAAAACTTCCTGCGTACCCACAATTCGTAAGAATTTCATGCGGGTTACCTTATTTAAAAGGTACTTTACTTGTCCAAAGTATTGTCTCACCCCACATACCTTGAGGTAGACCCAAACTTA